ACTGCCATGCCACAAAAAAGAACTATATCAGTTGCTGTAACTGTGGACAATGGTTGCGTTTAGCTGTTTCGTCGAACCCTTATTATTAATTAATCTACTCAGGCCATATCATAATTGTCGGATACGTCATGAAGTGACAATTCAAAGATCTGACATAGACATACATACAATATGTGCCCACTTGACTTGCTCTCCTTTCATCAACGCATGTGGTTATTAGAGCCAGACACTTAACGATAGAACTTGAAATGAACTTGCACTTCAAAATTCTGACTCGTCATTATCGTATTATCATTAGATTGCTGGGTACAACAAACATTAATTTTTGTAGTAAAACTTGTAACCTGTATGGTTTAGAACAAAGGAGAATTTAGAAAATTTCTCCAGTGCATTCTGACATAGTACTGGTAGTATTCTTCGCTTTAAATGTTTTTGAATTAATGAAAAAACTCAACTTTGAAAAATACATTTTTAAGTAACGGAAAAGCAGTACCTAAGTAGTATGTAATTTTACAGAAACATGTTGAGCAAAAATACTGTATGTGTATAAATGTATAGATAAGAAAATATTTACTGTCACTATCTTCTAACATCTGTTTCCAAAGTTTAAACTATATTTAAATTTATTTAGTTAATTAAATTAGTTATGATAAAAGCTTAAGTTGATTATACTTACACGGCCACTTCGCACACACAGGCAGCGGATAAACTAGTCTATGGTATATCGATCCGATCTATACAGCTCAATATCGCCCACTGCTACTTTCAAAGCTTATGTAATTGTGTTTTATGTTCCCGGCGATAGCTTGTGTAATCTCCCTTTAGATTACGATCGTTAATTGTGCTAACGTCTCGTAAAATACGTCTTGGTTTGGCGTCAATTCGTCTATATAATTTCGTTTATGATTAGTAAAGACTTCATAGTAAGGTATTGTTAGAATTTTTGTTGTCTTAATCATCGCATAGATAGAGAACCTATCATAATAATTATAAGCTCAACTCTTCAAAAACAGTGTCTCAAATACAGGTGATGTTCTTTGTGTAATTGTGTATTGCGAATTGTAATATATTTATAATGTGTAATATATTTAGATAAATGAACTATTTTTTTAAGTTTTTTTAATCATGTCATGTTTTTTGCATTTTCGAATTAAAACATTGTTTTGGTAATGAAAAACATTACCTTACACTGGTATATGCAAAGATTGACATCTGAATTGTTTGCAACAAAATGTCAGAGATAAATATTATCCATTGCATTGTGACAGGCCTGGGCTTCAGTGACGCAAGTCTTATGAGCATGAAATGCCAGTATCGTCGGAGTATATTGTTGTTTAACAAAACTGCGGTGCTTTTGTACGCACCAAAAACATACTAGATATAAATATGGAGTCCTAATAAGTGAATGGTCATTTAATAAAAATAGGTGGAAAATATAATTTATGGGGTATAAAATGAATTGAGCCGTAAAGTTACTGCGTTATAATTTTACGATTTGACCTGGATTTTTTATAATGTAAAAGTAGGACTGTTGATGGCATTTATTTCTGAAAAGTACAATATCGAATGTCAATAAAAGTTGGAGTACATACTAATAAAAGTGTTAATGATGTTATCAGATATCAGCAAAACCTACACTTACATAGATAAGTAAACCTAAACATAGATGTGCAAGTAAACAAAACAAAATACTGTATTTTATCTTAGTGATTACATTTGTTACCAATATATCCCTGTATAAAAATACAGAGTGTCACCACCCCTATTCATCCCGTGGGTGTCGTAAGAGCCGACTAAGGGAGCAAACTACGCAGGACAACAGCACTGCAAGGAGAAGGAAAACTTGAAACAAACCCTATACCAACCCGTCTGGCCAGCGTGGTATAGTAGGTCAAAACCTTTCTAAGGTGAGGCCTGTGTCCAGCAGTGTACTATTAAAGGCTGTCGATGATAATGATGAGATCCGTAATCTTGATGTCATTTTTTATATGTATATTTATTACTTACATCCGATTGTCTTGAATTTTAATAATGAATACCAACTGACTCATCTTTAAACCAACCCTTTACGTCCGTAGGACCTTGGCCATTTCCTGACGTCACATCCTATTCGTGAGACGGAACTGCGCTTCCTTGACTTTCTGGTTCGCTGCATTGGTGTCCCTTGCAGTTATCACACGATGGGAAACGCTATTGTCTCAGTCTATTGTCCTAGCAAGGGCGTTGTAGCATAACATTATACTATCGGCTAGTGATTTTCTAATAAATTTCCATATTATATTTTCCTTTTTTTACAAGGGATTAGTAAAATTTTATTTCCCATACTAGGTAGTTGCATTTTGTACGGAGAATGATGAGAATGGAAACATACGTTTCTTACCTAATCCTAGACAACACAAAATGCTTAACCAGATGAAGCACGTGCATTAACGAAACGTGGGTTGCGTTCTTTATGTTTTCTTACTTTGAGCAGTTTAACGTCTTTTAACGAGGCATTTTGCAACCGTTATGATGTTTCATACATTTTATTTTGCTAGAGAAAAACATATATACATAAGAAACAAGATATATATATATAAACTCTTAGAAGCCGTTTATGTTTCACACAGACAACACTGAGACACAAATACACCTGTTTTCCATACTTGAAAATCAATGGCATGTTGGCCCTTTAACATTCCGTCCACTTCGAAAGTTCCGTTGATCATTTAAATGAGGTTACACGAATGTTTTCATGAAGTAGGTACTTTGTTTTCTTTGAAATTTTGCAGTGGCACGCCAGTAAACTGTAATATCCATGTCTTTGTGTTGCAAATATTTTTTATTTAATAAATGTTTATTTATTTAAGCATTCTCTACAAGCTGGAAAAGAAAGTCTCATAAGCTTTATTTTAAGATTAATTACGTAAATTTGTTTTTTTATTAAAGCTTATGCCAATATCAGTCCCATTTCAAATACCGGGACTTTACCAAGTTAGTTATTATCTAACGGCCGGTGGAGTTCCGTCGCAATGGATTCCAATTTCCTCACGCGTGCTTACAATTCATGGACTCAACACCATTAGAGGAAATAAAATGTAACAGTTGATCTATGCTTGGGAAAAACGTTTTAAACATAATACCAAACTTTTCGTGTAGGTACTTGTATCTAATTTAAGACCCTATAAAGTCAACATTGATACTCAATGATTTTCTTATTAATTTAGGTCACCTTTTCTTATTTGGTCAAATTCATGTTATTTGTTAACTTTGCATAAAGTCGCAAAATGTGGTGAAAACAAAATATTTGGTTCTCATAGTTCATTATTCACGCTGAGCTTGGCACAGGGCGCAGATAAATTCAGGTCAAACACTAAATCTATTTTGCAGACTCTTTCAGGAATATGGTGTACACATGTTTGCTATTTTGAAGTTACATGTGCAAATACTAGTTTAGAACGAAAACACGTATGTTGTTCATGCACATAAATGTTTGACTTGAGCGGGAATCGAACCCGCGACCTCTGGAATAGTAGACCGTTACACGTGGTTTAACCAAAAAATATATAAAATAGTATATTTATTTATATCAGTTGTCTAGTACCCATAATACGAGCTCTGAGCTCTTAGTTTGGAAGAGAGTTGGAGTTGTGTGAATGTGGTATAGAATATTATTATTATTCGTGTTACTTTCGTATAAAATAGAATCAATATAATCAATGTAATGAAATTGTTCATCATCTTACAAAGTATTGTCATATCTTTGTTTAAAAACCCTTTATTTTCTCCCAGGACATAGCAAAAATTAAATACTCAATAAGGGCAACGTATATATAAACTTTACTAAAAAAAAAAAATTGTCAAAGTAGACACAAAAGTCAAAAACACTATTCCACAGATAATATCACTAACTGAGGAGTGAAACGACAGTTAAAGTTATTCCTTAGATTTAAGCTTTATTTATCAGATAACAACTATCTTACCGTTGAAAAATCTAAAATTATGCTAACTGTGGAATTAATGCTATCTGACTGTTTATCTGAGGATTAAAAACAGGCCCTTAGTTTTTTATTTATGCTGAATACAAACAAGAACACCTTTACACCAAAATGCATATGATATTCCTTTAATATGATATTCCTTTAACTTCAGCTAAAGTCACGAATTTACCAGATAAAACAAAGAAACGCATAAATTTTTGTCGCGTGCCTTTGCTTGTTATTAATTTCATCGGTCGTGAGTAGGCGCACATCGTGAAGGGGACCCACACACGTGCCCCATTAGTGATTCAAATCATCAACAAAATGAAGAATCACGAAGACAGAAAATTATGAATCAGGAAGTCTTTTACGTACGCACTTAAAAATAATGTAATATATATGATACAAATTATTTCTGCGCCTTTTTAAAGCATGTTAAAAAGAGATTGTGCTCTTAGATTTAACTGTTTGTTTAGTCTCCAATTTGAAAATGTAAAGGTATACTATTTATAGCACCGTAACTGAAAACAACTTGTCCGTGTGGTGACGGATTAAGAATACGGACCATACGGTCACCAGCCCTATTCATCTCGTGGGTGTCGTACGAGCTGAATCAGAGATTAAACTACGCAGGACAACAGAACTGCAAAGAGAAGGGAAACTTGAAACAAACTCTACCAACCCGTTTAGTCAGCGTGGTATAGTAGTCCAAAACATCCTTTCTAAGGCGAGGCCTATGTCTAGCAGTTGATTATGAAAGGCTGTTGATGATGATGATAAACTGAAAACAAACTAGTTTTGCATCCACTTTTAGAACTTAATATCTTGTCAGGCGTATACCCAAGCACATGAATATGGTTTAGTATATAGAATATTATACCAATGAGTATTGAGTACTTCAATGGATTTTGAATTTTCTATACGACACTAGTAGGCTTAAGATAAGAATAATTGATACTCTACTTAAACTAAGCTCTACAAGAAAAACATCTCATTCTACTTAAGTTATTTATTACAAATAAATAACAAGTACAGAATTTATTAAAAATCTATAAATTCTGATTCAAAACGACAGCGAGTATGTTGCACCAAGGGTTCATCTTCGTATCGATCGAAATTCGTGGTATCACCAGGACATTTAAATTTTGGTATAAATGGTGATTGAGTTCGACAGTTGAGTACCGAATCCCACTCAATGCCTCTGAACCATTTATGATTCTTAAAATCCATTACACCATTTCTCATTACACCATAACGATGGCTTATATCAACTTGAAGAATATTTCGAATTAAATCTCTAAGATCAGTGCTGAAACCAGATGGACATCTATACTTACCACTGACGATTTTCTCGTAGGTCCTCATCGAATCATTTGCATAAAAAGGGGGATATCCAGCGTTCATTTCAAAAAGCAATACTCCAAATGACCACCAATCAACAGAAAAACCATAACCTTTACTCAATATTAATTCGGGTGCTAAATATTCAGGAGTACCACACAACGTCCATGTGCGCCCTTGCAACACTTTACAGAATCCAAAATCACAAATTTTTAGATAGCCTGTTTTTTCGATCATTATATTTTCAGGCTTTAAGTCACGATAAACTAGGCTACAGAAATGCAGATATTCCAAGGCCAAAATTACTTGGGTAGCGTAAAATTTAGCCAAAGGTTCATCAAATTTGCCCATTCGTCGTAAATGGGTGAACATTTCACCGCCTGATACGAATGGCATTATGAAGTACACATACGTGTTGTCCTTGAAAGTGAATTCCATATAGACTGTAAAAGGAAATCTGATAGATTCGAGAATGCGTTTTTCGTTAAGTGTGTGTTCTACTTGCTTCATTTTTACTATCTTTTCTTTTTCTAATACTTTCATAGCATATAGCCTGTGGCTCTTCTTATGCTTTAATAACAGTACCCTACCGAACGCTCCTGTCCCTAATGTTGTTACTGTCTCCGTTTCACTTATTTCCACACTGAATCTTTGTTTCTTGCACCAACGTTCGTCGAACTCACTTTTTAGCTTTTTTAAATATTTTGTATACTGTTCCTGTTGCTGCGCTGTATATCCATCGCGAACTGCCGACTTAAAATTGTAAGTGGAATTGCTAGAAGGGCGAAAGCTTTTACGTGAATACATTTTTATCTATTATTACTGAAGCATTTGCTTAGTTAAACTCATGTTTTATATATCACAGCCATCGAGATTGCATTTTTTACTTTTAATGACACGGAGCTTCTCAAATTCGTTAAGGTTAAGCAATTAGAGCGTGAATGTAAACACCATCACATTTTTACTAAGAGCGAAAGTTCGGGAGGGGTGGGGTGCAGGCGAGAGCGGGTCGAAGGGTGAACGAACTTCATGAGGGGATAGGTGGAATCAGCTGTGTTTAGGGAGGGCACGCCATTCGGCCGACAACTGGTCGCCACGTCCCGACTGGCATATTGATCAGACAACACGTGTAACTTGCGCATGATGCTAAATATACATTTAGTAGTCACGTACGTAGCACCTACGTGAAACTGATGATATTTTGACAACAGTTAAAAAGTTTTCATAAGAGTAGCCATGTTTTCTTTCATCGTTAATAGCGTTATATCCGTAGCAAGTCCTGGAAAAATGATACAATTCACAAACTGGCCTACCAACTGACAAACTGACCTATTATTAGAGCTTTAGAGCTAAACTTTCTAGAAAGACATCTTTTTATTTAATAACTAGCTGACCCGCGCAACTTCGTCTGCGTCTCTCAATAGTACCTAATAAATTTTCTCCGTTTTTTAAACATTCTTCATTGGTGCTCCGCTCCTATTGCTCTTAGCGTGATGATATATAGCCTATAGCCTTCCTCGATAAATGGGCTATCTGACACTGAAAGAATTTTTCAAATCGGACCAGAAGTTCCTGAGATTAGCGCGTTCAAACAAACAAACAAACAAACAAACTCTTCAGCTTTATAATATTAGTATAGATAACAATTCTTTTTTTTTCATCACTACATCCAGAAGGTTATTTCAATATAAATACAAATATGTAGTTTTGGAAATTGGCATTGATAAATAATTTACCAATTTGTAGATTGTATCGTTTTTATACAACTCGGTTCAGTCATACAATCATAATTTAAGTGAGGGCGATTGTTAAAGCCGCACCTTATTTAGGGCACATTGCACTTACTATATTAGGAAATAGAGAACCGTTAATTTTTAAATGTTTTGTTTTATATGGTGAAGTTACACTGTAACTTAAAAAGTCATTGTGTAGTTTGTCCAAACCATGAAAGCTCGACATAAAGTAGACCTTACACTCTTAACACATTAATTACAATAACACACATACACATTAACGTTCCCAAGTGCACGAAATTTGCTTAAACACAAATAAAATATATTTAAAATGTGATAAATTTCGAAAAAGAAGCGATTGTATGTATTTTTAATAATTATTATTAAAAAACGCGGACAAGAAATTTTACTAAACAAAATTTACTAAATTTTGTTTAGTAAAATCAAGTTAATACTTTTTCAAGTTTCAAGTCAAACTATATATATTCGAAGTGAATTTATAGTTTGACTGGACAAAAACTACTATTCCGAACAAAATTTATTAGGCAGTTTTTTTTTGTGCGGCTTAACTAAAAATCTTTCACTGTTCACATTGGCCAGACTAACCAAATATTCTCTGGTTATGCCTGAATAAATACAAGCTATACAATAGAAGTTTTCATCTATTTAAATTAAAAAATCACACAAATCAATAGAAGTCGATGCGAAATTTTAACCACCTTATAGTACATTTTAATCTCCCTTTATTAGAAAAGGCAACATTTACATTGGTGAAAGTGAAAAATGAACATTCGTTACATTAACTTACTACTACTTAATTTATTAACCCTACCCTACTCTACTACTCGTAGTACCTATTCTTACCGTTATCTTAAGAATGAGAATATTACCCTAGTCTTTACGGTTGAAAGCTAGTAACAGATTTGAACAGTCGGTCGCTAAAATAAAAAAGAACTATCGCCTATAACTTCATTTTACCGTTATCAAGACTTACTCGTGCGTGCGACACTCCATTTTATAAGTATGACGCATGCGCACCCACATTTTATTTAGGAGCGCACATCGGCACAAACGTCCGATAAACATTCTTAGAACACATGATCCTTTAAGACATATAACTGTGTTGTTAATAATAATTAATACAAACTGTTCGCATTAGTGAGTGTGCTGGACGACCTCATGTTCAATGAAAATGATTTGTAATTATATCTGCGATGTCACGATTACTGTGGCAAATTAACACTGAATTCCACCTATCACCTGAAGAGTCGCGCGAGTACATTGCTTTCAACCGTGATTGACCACCGCAGTCGTTACCTACTAGAAGTAACGGCTGCGGTGGTCAATCACGGTTGTCAAACAATGTTTGTCAATTTTCGGTATTTTTATAAATGCGTTCCAGTTTTCGAGCTTTATTGTTTTACTATTTAATATTATGTTACGCTGGATGATTTTATTCTATGATGTAATATAACCTCAGTGGCTATAGGTGGTAATATGCGCGCAGCAATCTTGATGAATTGTGGCCAAGGTCAAAGAGGCTCGCACTGATTGCTGTACCTCCTAATCGAACAATTTAACTCAAATTTTCATCAGGAAACATTTTAAACGGGAACTCTAAAATAATCTTCATCACAAAGAATCATCATTGGAAAAGTCGCTTGAAAGTAAATAAATGTAGTAACTATTTTTTTTAAACCTATGAGGCATAAACGGCATCTTGAGATACAGAGAGATAAACCTAGTTCAAAAGACAGAGCTTAATATTGTGTACAGATTTCTGCAACGAAACATACTATCCAATACCTATTGTATTTGAACCTGTTATTTTTGGTGTTGTTATATCTGTCAAACTACTTTATTGACATTACAATGTTGCCACATTTTTTTTTTCATGTATGATTTTAAGTATGATAGTTGTAATGTTCTCGATAAAAAAGATGCCCTAGTGTTAGATTGCCTTATTAGTTTCTTATTACATATTGTTACATGACAGTATAATAAAGATTCGTTGTGCTGATTTAAAATAGTTGTACTCAATAAAGGCGGATTGGCTGACCATACTGGTATTGTTGCAATAGAGATAGCCAAAGCTTTGTTAGTCGAGATTTATTCGACTCGGTCGCTGGTCAAGGTTGGAGACCCACAATCCACTGCATACATATATGTATTTATTTCTTGGCACGTCACCAGACATGTGTGTGCGATATTCTGTAATATATAAAAGCGTCGTTTGTGATGAGTATGACATAAGTAGTTTTGGATGTAAACATTACCTACAGAAAATTATTAAAATAATAATTTTGCTTTTATCACATATGTGGTTTAATTGGATAGGACTCAATGTCCGTCCTTTCAAGAGGAGTATCAAAGGTAAAGAAATGTTGAAAAGCCTTCTTGTACGTTGGTACGCCAGCTTTCTGGCGAATGAAAAAAAGTACAGGAAAATGAGACACTACGTCGAAAAATGGGCTCGTTAGTAATATACCACGTGGTAATGACGGTTATATTTCGAGGACGCTAGCGAACATAAAAAGCAGAATACAAACTTGTTCCCAAACACATAGTATCGAATTACCAGTTTGCAAAGCATTAAAGGCATTCTAACATGTTTTGGATTTTTAATTCCATTATATGAGAAGTTTTATTTATAGGACGTTTAATTAAAATATGAGTTATTTCAGATCTTGCAGTATTTTTGTACTTTAGTAAAATACATTGATAGTAAATATAAACTATTTTGACTTTACTACTTAATTACAAATATCGAAGCCTACGTTGTCTCTCTCTCTCTCTCTCTTGAATATGTGTCCATTAATAAATAAAGACATCTACCATAGTTGAGCTAAAGTAATCGTGTAACAATAACTTTGTGCCTGTCTTCCAAAGTAAATGGATTTACTTTTATCACAGGAAGCTGTGATATGTCTTCGTAATAATCTTTTTCTTAATAAGTTGTTCTTTCTGAGTTTTTTTATTTTCTATTTCTTTTTATGTTGCCCTTGGATAGGCGAATCCGTGTTTATGACCGTTAAAATCCATTTGAAACTAACGATATTTTCGTGCCATGTCTACGGCCTTTAAGACTAGCTGTATATTATAAATACATATCAGACCGCAACCCTATTATCTATACAATGTTGTGTTGGTTATGGATATGGCAAAAGTCGAAATGAAACCGTAATACTGCAGCTGCTCCGTGAGATCGATCGACCTTTCGTTTAATGTTCGTTCTTTTGGTTATTGTTATAGTTTTGAACAAAAAATAATTACAAAAATAAAGATATTATCAATCATAACTATTTATTGGTTTGTTATTGTACATTGTTTGTAGGTGGTGCTGTCTAATGTGGAAAGCATATTATTTTTCATGTAATTAAGCTACGTAAACAAGCTCATGTTCTAACAGTGGTCAGGACTGACCTGAGTAATATCTCAGGCTAGCGGCTCCAATGTAGCAAAAATATGACGGACCTTACTTACATTTACTACTTTAAATAGTTTTGTCGTCTGGGTTAGGTATAGGTGCATGTAATAATTATTTCGTTTTCAATCCGTATCCACTGCAATCGTCGTAATGGCGCTATTTTTATATAACCTCTGTCATTTGTACCCTGTCAGTCAAAAAGTTCACGGTCGTTGGCTTGTGTGCCACATTACCTAATGGCCTTTAGACGTTAGCCCTTTCTCCGTCATGTGGAAATAGCTCACCTTTGTATAAATATATAGCTTCAACAAATCGATTGCACGATCCTGGACGACTATGTAACCTGTTCTTTCGCTTAGTTTCACTCAAATAATAATAATCTCAATTTGTTCAGATCTTTTTTTTTCTCGTCGAAACCTCTCCGGCCGTCACCCCACCGGGGTTTGAGTCGGGGTGGTGGAGCCTGAAGTAAGACGGATCTGGGTACTACTGTTATTAAGACATCCGGACCCCTCCTAGTGCCTGCCCGCGAAGCGCGAGCACAAGCTTCGGCCGCCTTGGGTCGCCAGCGCGGACGCCGCCTCCTTGCGGCTGGAGGGGAAAACCCATCCCCGTCCACCCACGACCACACTCATGGCGGCGACGAA